CCTCTCTCTCTCAGCTCGCAATCTTCTTTGACATTAGATGCCCAATTTCAAAACCCTTCCTCATCAGACGTTGACGCCGACGCCGGCGGAGTGTCTACTCCTCTGAAGAAGAGCAGCTGGTCCATGCATATGTATATATTTTTCAAATCCGACACTGCAGAAAGAGAGAGAGTTGATCAGAAACTTGCTGCCATGGTTATGCATGGTGTTGAGGTTGGTGTTGGTCGATGCTTCGCAGTGGTGCTGGCTCGGTGCAGAGGGAGAGGGAGATGTTTGTCCATAGCTTCCGATGGTAGCTCTTCGTTTAGATCGGGCACGAAAGGAGAGACAAAGAGGGGATATGTTTAGGGACCTTAGACATCAAAAAATAATTTTGTGGATCTTTTCCATTACGAAAAGTGGGAGAGAGACCCTAGACTAATTTTCCCTATATTTTAATATGAATTTACTAATAAGGACAATACATATTAACTCTTAAAATAAAATATTTTTTTCTTATGGTACATCCTAATCAATTACTCTTAGGAAAATGTCCAAGACCCCCTTTTCCCCCTACCCCCTTGACCCCCTCTCTCTCTGATTGGTTAGATTTTCTTTTTTCTTTTTCTTTTTTTCATCTAAACACTCATAGCCTCACTGAAATAAAAGTGCGAAAAGAAATACAACTGAAAGGAGTTTTGTCAAACGGGATTGCCAAGAAATAAAACCTAACAGATTGGTTAGATTTTCTTTTTTCTTTTTCTTTTTTTCCTTCTCCTCCAATCGCCACCCGCCACGCGTGTGTGGGGGGTGGTGGAGGTGGTGATTGGAGGGGGTTTCTATCAAAACCCTTATTATTATTCAAATCTTAGCATGTTCTCCCTAAGAGATCAAAATTATTTTCTCTTCTTCCTCGCTCTAAAATTCCAATTCACCCGACCAAAACTCACCATTATCATCAACATTATTATTTTTTTATTATTTTAAAACCCTAAACCCTAAACCCTAAAAGAAAGTTTGAACAAAATCAAACAATAAATGAGAGTGATAATCAAAACAATGTGTTGCTTCTCCAAATTTGAAACAATTTACGTATTCAATTGAATATGAAACAATTTAAAGTTGAGCCATACAACCTCAATATCTTTTTAAACTGTTTTTCAAAATTAATACACCTTTAGACGATCACATAACTTGGCTATTCTCAAGTCAAACTTAGTTTCAAGCTCTCATGCAGAAGTTTTGATAGAATTAAAAAAACAAAAAACAAAAAATAGAGTCAATCACAAGTTATTAACAACAATTCCCATAAGTTACCCACTAAGATGTGTTTGGATTTTTGATTTGTTTTCACTTTTCTATTTTTAAAATTCCAAAATCCAAACAATTGAATAAGGAATTGTTTTTCAATGCCAAAACCCAGATGGTCACATAGCAGCCCTATTATATTCACTTTTTTTTTCAAAATAATAATAATAATAATAATAATAATAATTAATCAATTAAAATAAAAAGATTGCATAGTTGGATGTATTTGCAAACAATAATCCTTAGATTGATCACATTTTCGTCTCTCCATTGAAGATATGTTTTGATGGCCAGTTTGACAAATTTTTTTTTAATTTTTTGTTTGGGTTTACTCAAGGGTAATTTGAGAAATATTATAAGGTGTACTGAGAATAATATAACATTTTAAATAATTAAACATAATGTACATAAAAATTAAGAGTACTTAATATTTTTTGAGTGTAAATAGAATCCCCCTCCTTTGGTTTATGTAATTTACCTAGTCAATAAAAAAATAAGGTGGGAGTTGTATTTCCTCCTCTGCTCCATTTTTTCATCCCTACCCTAAATATAATAAATAAATAGCTCATGTATAGATATTTATAATTTAATTTATTAAATATAATAAAAGTAAAATATCAAAACATTCATAAACATCTTATTTTTTTTATATTTGTATCTCTCATTTAATATTTTAATTCTCAATACTCATCAATATATATACACATTTTAAACGGACATCAATATTTATTTTGTTATATATTATATCATCACTTTATCACCGGTAATGTTCCCGCTTGGAGGTAACAAATTTCCTCAACACTTTCCTACTCTCACACCCCCTCAGCATTTTCTCAAATTTTTCCGGTTTGAGAAAGTAGGGGATTAAAGTGGGGTCTACAAATTCAGCCTGTCTCATTGCCATCTTTTCTCTTTTATATGTATAATAATTTTACAAAATTATTTGTAGAAACACGTTTTAAATTTTAATTTTTTTTTCGGTTGATGTCTGCACAATCATGTGATGAGTTTGGATATTGAGACTTTGTTTGAGAAGTGAGTTGGCTTTTTAATTTTTTAGTTATTTTAATTTGAGGGTAAAAAAATTTATTTGGGTTGAGTTCTTTTAATTTTTGTGAAAGAAAAAATAAAATAATTATAATTTGAATGTGATATTTTGTCTTATTGACTTTTTAACATATTTTGTCTTTGGATAAACTACCAATAAGTCCTAATAGTTGAACTTAATTTTCATCAAATCCTATTGAAAATAAGTCTGGATAAAATTATCGCTATTTTTTTTTGTGATATTTTTTTTATATATGTCGCTAAAAATTGACAATTAGTGAATTTTTTATCATGATATTTATAAATTGTCGCTAAAACTTACAATTAGTGACTTTTTTGTGACAATTTTTTCTTATAGGACTTATAAGATAATAAATTTACTTATTAAGACTTACACGTAAGTATCTCATTATCTTTTTTGTGATTATTTTAACTTGATAGGCCCATGCCAAACGAGCGTTAAATTATAAAAACAATGATTGGATAAGGACTTGGACTATGGGATACAACACAAATCTTATTCTAATAATTTAAATCGTTTCATGTGTAGAATTCATCAAATATTTTATTCTTATAAAAAATCATATTGATTAATATGGATAATTACTTGATCGAATCATATTTCTATCAATAATTTATTTTGAAAATGGGCTTTGATAGAGACCCCCTCCAATCACCACTCCCACCACCCCCTCACACACACGTGGCGGGTGGTGATCGAAGGAGAAGAAAAAAAGAAAAGAAAATAAAATAAAATCTGACCAATCAAAAAGAGAAGGGGTCAAGGGGGTTGGGGAGGAAAGGGGGTTTGCATCTTTTTCCTTTGAAAATTATGTTTACTGTTGACAGAAATATGATTAGATCAAGTAATTATTAATATTCGATTAACGTAAATTTTTACATAAATTAAATACTCAATAAATATTACATATTGAATATTCAAATAATCCAAACATAACCCATTATCCAATCCAATCAACCTCTCGATCAAATCTAAACGATTACACTAAGTTTTTAATTGTTAAATTAAAAATTAATGATTTATGACAAATTTATTTATCGGACTAAACAAATTTGGAAATTTGGAGGTAACGGAACGGTTTAGTGTTTGGGATTCTCACACTTTTTGTCCCTTTTCCGAACACACGCCATATGGGTTTTTTCTAAAATAAGTTAAAATAGCAAGTTATTATTCAAATTAGGCATAGTATTGACAAATTTTTCAAAATAAACTAAAACGTGGTTATAAATCACGTTTTCATCGTTTTTGTAGTCTTCTGTCATACGTATGTATATAACCTGCCCAAAGTTAAAATGATAATTATTTTTTATCCTTAAATGATAATTATTTTTTATTTTTTATTTCTTAACCAAATTAATTTTTAATTTAAAAAAAAAATTCTAAAAATCAAACCATACATAACCTAAAAATCTTTTGATAAATGATTTACATACGTATGGTTTAAGGGTAAAGATTTTGATAAATGACTTAAATGTTAAATCAAACCATTCATAACCTAAAAATTTTTACCCTTAAACCATACGTATGTAAGTCATTTATCAAAAAAATTTTAAGCCTCAATTTGGGAAGTGGGTTGACTTTTTGACTTTTTGACTTTTTTGACTATTTTAGCCTGGGCTAAAAAGTTTGGTTTGAGAAGGCCTTTTTGGCTTTTTGGTTTTTTTGACTTTTTTTGTGAGAGAAGAATGTAATGATTATGAGTTGGATGTGATATTTTGTTTTTTGTGGCTAAAATAACCTATTTTTTCTTTTGTGGCTAAAATAGCCAAAAAAACCCCGTTTAGCTCTTGCCAAACGGAGCCTAAGTTATGTATGGTTTGAGTTTTATAATTTTTTTTAAAAAAAATTAAAAATTAATTTGGCTAAGAAATAAAAAATAAAAAATAATTATCATTTAAGGATAAAAAATAATTATCATTTTAATTTTTGGCCATGTTATATACATACATATAGTTGTTTCAATTTAAGTTTTAAAAAATTATTTTTAACCACTCGAAAGATAAAAATTATATAAAAATGATTTATATTTACAAAAATTATATAGTTGATTATTATTGCTATTATAAATTATTATTATATACTCCCTCCGTCCCAAAATATTAGTCCCTTATTCCATTTTTTATTGTCCCAAAATATTAGTCCCTCTTCAAAAATTAAGTACAAAATAATATAAATTTCCTATTTTGCCCATCTTTTAAATTAATAAATAATATAAAAAGTACAATTATGACATTGATATTCCCAAAAAATGTACTATCAAAAGGGTAATTTTGGAAAATCAACTTTTTTCAAATGCAATAATTGTACTACCAAAAAAGTTGGATTCCCCAAAAGGGACCAATATTTTGGGACGGAGGGAGTATAAAAATTATATTATTTCAATTATATAGTTGATGTGCGTGAGTGTTGTGGGTGTGTGTGTCAGAGTGTGGGTTGGTTTGTATTAAAAACGTGTTTTGAAAATACATTTTTACATTTCAATAGTAATTTTATTTAAAAGTGTGTTTGTAACCACACTTTTTAATCATGCTTTTAAGATTTTACAAATTTTTTACAAGAAGACCATAAAATCGGTGAAAGCATGATTTGTAACCACGTTTTAATTTATTTGAAAAATCCGTCAAAATTAGGCTTAATTTGAGAAATTATTGATATTTTGACTTATTTTGGAAAAAGTCCCCACGCCAGATGTCCTCTGCTCTGCACTATCTGAGAAGCGTCTCTCTCTCTCTCTCTCTCTCTCTCCGCACATAAACACTTGGAAATTCAGTGTAAATTCTGCTGAATGGAGACTATTTCTAGGGATTCTGAATATGGTTTTGTAGAGATGTTCAGGAGAGAGACGGGTTCAATTCACCCCCGAACCTTCGCTCGCCGAATCTCTGCTTCTGAGGTTTTTACTCTCTCTCTCTCTCTCTCTCATATGTGTCCGTGTGTTTGTATTTATTGATTATCAATCAAAAGCAGGAGTTCATGTTTTTTGAATAAATAAATATAATCAGCTGCTAATTTGCGCGTTTTTCTCAATGGTATTATATATTTTCAATTTTCTATGAAAGGTCCTAAATTTGTTTTGGTGATATACTTGTTGGGTTGCTTTGCTTCTTTATCTAGTTTTATGAATTGGGTGGTCTCTGTTAAGAAGTTCCTAATGGTTGGAAAGGGTTTACCAATTGGGTAGTCATTGGAGGTGTGTTTGTTGTCCTATATTTTACTGTATGATAGTTGAATTTATCATTCAATCAAAATTGGAAAAATAGAAATTGTAATTTTTCCCACTGGTGATGATGTTATTTTAATCAGTATTTTATGGTTTTCATGAAATGCCTTCAATTCAATTTTTCATTATTTGTACTACTGATATCAACCTGGTCTTCTGTGATTCTCTCATACAATATAGTGTCATGAAATGCCTCCAGTAAAAATTTTTATGGCTTCTTTTCTGTAAATAATTCATTTATGTTGTTATACATGCTGTAAATAAAGTTGGGCAATGTAATTTCCATGCCAATTCAAATTTTGGTTGCAAAAGTAGGTACAAATTCCAGTGCACTACGGAACAGCTTCTTGTGTACTTATTTTATTTTTTGGGTACAGGTCCTTGTGAACCAAATTGATCTGTATGGGAAGTTAAGTGGTCATGCGGGTTGTGTAAACACAGTTCAATTCAACTCTACTGGAGACCTTCTTGTGTCGGGTTCTGATGATCGACAAGTTATGTTCTGGAATTGGGCAATGAAAAAATTAGAATTTTCATATCCTTCTGGCCACTTAGACAACATATTCCAGGTCAGGATCATGCCTTTTACTGATGATCGGAAAACAGTAACTTCTTCTGCCGATGGCCAGGTTTTTTCATTTCATTCGTTCCGTCACTCTCTCCAACATGCATTTATTTATTTATGGAACATATTTTAGGTGCACCACATGCACTAGTCCAGTAGGTATGTTCTATGTATACATCATGGTGCTCATGATTAATGAAACTTATAGGCTGTCAGAAGATTTTTCTCATTAGAGAGTGGTACCTGTAGCTATTACAGGTACCAAGGGCAACTAAGCCCTTCCATGATCCCTTCCGGAACCAAACATGAATCTTTCGATTCATTTGGCTCTCAGGCTCAATTAAAACTCCACATAGCTGCCTAAATGCACTAAGACTCGATCCTGCATCATCCGGCTTGATAGTTTGTGTTTATGCCATTGGGCCAAGCGATCTATTCTTAGTATGACTTTTCAATTGTTTATATAAATCTACTACTACTATAGAAAAGTGAAGACTTGAGAGTGTTTTCTGCTCTTCCTGATTCCCAAATAACCTCCACTCGACTCAATGATTACCTGTAAATTGCAACCCAAAATGACGGGCCTATTTTCAGGGCATGTATAACTGTAATCTTACTGTTTAAGTAGGCAGGCTGAAGTTACACACCCCTTCAAAATTTTCTCTTATCTATGGGAAAAAAATATCAGTCCTCACTCTACACTTAGAATGCCACACAAATAACTTTCTGTTTCTCCTTAGAAAATGTCCATATCTTTTCAACACCAAATTGGCATTATATCGCCCCATATGGTTGCACAGTAAAATACAACATCAGCATCCTTCAATGTTTCATGCTTCACGTCAATCCTCAAGATAATGAACAATACAATTATATTCATTTCGTCAGTCTGTAGGAAGAATTAGAAATAGAGGAATCCACACAATTCTATTTCTATCAAAATTTTTTTTTGCAAGCATGGATATGTTGTGTCATTGTTTAATCAGGTTTGATTAATTTGCCACACAATAATAAATTGTAGAATCAAAATAAAGCAATCACATAGAAAAATTAATCGAACCTAATTAAATCATATAATATATATAATCTACTTATTTTCACTATAGGATTTTGAAGAAAGATATGTCAAAATTTTTTTGGTTAGTGGTGAGTTTATGTCTTATGGATTTTGGTTCTTATTTGATAGCTTTTTATGTAATTTAGTCTATGTTACGTGCACTCTTCAAAATAAATCAAATATCCATGTCAAACACACGACACTTGGAGAAGGGAGTGGGACATCTATCCAATACTTTCCATCGTGCACTTCTGGTATATTTGTAGTTGACATTATCATTACATGTATATATTATTGTATAATTGCTATAAAGTAAGTAAAATGAATTTTTGACATTGTATGCTACATATAATACGATTTTATCTCATATACTAAATTAAAAATAAAAATAAAAATATGATCATTTTTTTTTTTTTTGCCAAGTCCACTTTTGAATTTGAGATTTGATGGTTCCTTCCAGCCTCTAGATATGTACCCTCCCATGCACCCGACACGGCACTCGACACCTGTATCCAAGTCTATGTAACATAGCTTTTATTCAAAGGAAATAATTTTTAATAACATTTAATACATTTCCATTTATTTTCAATATTATTTCATTTGAAATGTATTTACTGTATAGGTTCATTTTTAGTCTTTAAAACTTTCCTTGATGATGTTATTTTAATCAGTATTTTATGGTTTTCATGAAATGCCTTCAATTCAATTTTTCATTATTTGTACTACTGATATCAACCTGGTCTTCTGTGATTCTCTCATACAATATAGTGTCATGAAATGCCTCCAGTAAAAATTTTTATGGCTTCTTTTCTGTAAATAATTCATTTATGTTGTTATACATGCTGTGAGGGTTACTTAATATGCAAATAAAGTTGGGCAATGTAATTTCCATGCCAATTCAAATTTTGGTTGCAAAAGTAGGTACAAATTCCAGTGCACTACGGAACAGCTTCTTGTGTACAGTGTACTCATTTTATTTTTTGGGTACAGGTCCTTGTGAACCAAATTGATCTGTATGGGAAGTTAAGTGGTCATGCGGGTTGCGTAAACACAGTTCAATTCAACCCTACTGGAGACCTTCTTGTGTCGGGTTCTGATGATCGACAAGTTATGTTCTGGAATTGGGCAATGAAAAAATTAGAATTTTCATATCCTTCTGGCCACTTAGACAACATATTCCAGGTCAGGATCATGCCTTTTACTGATGATCGGAAAATAGTAACTTCTTCTGCTGATGGCCAGGTATTTTCATTACATTCGTTCTGTCACTCTCTCCAACATGCATTTATTTATTTATGGAACATATTTTAGGTGCACCACATGCACTAGTCCAGTAGGTATGTTCTATGTATACATCATATTAATTTGGTTGTACTTTGGAAAGTCATATGGACTATGTCTTAGGTTGATTTTTATTTTATCATCATATTTATGGTGCTCATGATTGATGAAACCCTATTTGTCTCATCTACTCATTTGCTTGTAGGCTGCCAGAAGATTTTTCTCATTAGAGAGTGGTACCTGTAGCTGTTACAGGTACCAAGGGCAACTAAGCCCTTCCATGATCCCTTCCGGAACCAAACATGAATCTTTCGATTCATTTGGCTCTCACACTCAATTAAAAGTCCACATATCTGCCTAAATGCACTAAGACTCGATCCTGCATCATCCGGCTTGATAGTTTGTGTTTATGCCATTGGGCCAAGCGATCTATTCTTAGTATGACTTTTCAATTGTTTATATAAATCTACTACTACTATAGAAAAGTGAAGACTTGAGAGTGTTTTCTGCTCTTCCTGATTCCCAAATAACCTCCACTCAACTCAATGATTACCTGTAAATTGCAACCCAAAATGACGGGCCTATTCTCAGGGCATGTATAACTGTAATCTTACTGTTTAAGTAGGCAGGCTGAAGTTACACTCCCCTTCAAAATTCTCTCTTATCTATGGGAAAAAAATATCAGTCCTCACTCTACACTTAGAATGCCACACAAATAACTTTCTGTTTCTCCTTAGAAAATGTCCATATCTTTTCAACACCAAATTGGCATTATATCGCCCCATATGGTTGCACAGTAAAATACAACATCAGCATCCTTCAATGTTTCATGCTTCACGTCAATCCTCAAGATAATGAACAATACAATTATATTCATTTCGTCAGTCTGTAGGAAGAATTAGAAATAGAGGAATCCACACAATTCTATTTCTATCTAATTTTTTTTTTGCAAGCATGGATATGTTGTGTCATTGTTTAATCAGGTTTGATTAATTTGCCACACAATAATAAATTGTAGAATCAAAATAAAGCAATCACATAGAAAAATTAATCGAACCTAATTAAATCATATAATATATATAATCTACTTATTTTCACTATAGGATTTTGAAGAAAGATATGTCAAAATTTTTTTGGTTAGTGGTGAGTTTATGTCTTATGGATTTTGGTTCTTATTTGATAGCTTTTTATGTAATTTACTAGCCCTTTTATAGTCTATGTTACGTGCACTCTTCAAAATAAATCAAATATCCATGTCAAACACACGACACTTGGAGAAGGGAGTGGGACATCTATCCAATACTTTCCATCGTGCACTTCTGGTATATTTGTAGTTGACATTATCATTACATGTATATATTATTGTATAATTGCTATAAAGTAAGTAAAATGCATTTTTGACATTGTATGCTACATATAATACGATTTTATCTCATATACTAAATTAAAAATAAAAATAAAAATATGATCATTTTTTTTTTTGCCAAGTCCACTTACTCTTGAATTTGAGATTTGATGGTTCCTTCCAGCCTCTAGATATGTACCCTCCCATGCACCCGACACGGCACCCGACACCTGTATCCAAGTCTATGTAACATAGCTTTTATTCAAAGGAAATAATTTCTAATACCATTTAATACATTTCCATTTATTTTCAATATTATTTCATTTGAAATGTATTTACTGTATAGGTTCATTTTTAGTCTTTAAAACTTTCCTTATCTATACACCTACTCATATTTGCTCACAAGTCCATTTATTCCCTTTGTCCACTTTTCTTGCGTATGTCTGTATTTGTATAGGATGATTATGGTCTTGAAATGCATTTTCACATGATTAAGAAAGTAAGTGCTTTAAATTTATTAATGATATGTCATTGGTTCAAAGTCTTGCTCAACAAAATATTTTAATAGAGTTTTTTGTGTGGACTAGAAGAAACTAAAGACGAACTGAAGTAGGGTGAATGAATCACCAGGAGATGAAAAAGATGTGATAGAAAAAAGTGTTCCCAGCGAAGTTGGACATTCTGATGCAAGACTCGTCCAACACAAAGGTCACACAAAAAATTTATTTTGCTAGGTTTTCTTTTAAGAAAAATAACTTGCCTCATGCACATATATTAGATAGCTAGCTCAAAGCCAATGATTCAAATGATGGCCAAAGATCACCAGTGCAATCCTATTAAATAAATTCTTCCAATCATTTTCAACATACTCTCTCTTAAGGTTAACGAAATTATTCATTAACAACCTCGTGAAAGTCATGCAATAGTTGCTCAAATGTGTGAATCTGTAAAGATTATGAAATTAGTTGTTGAATTTTTATATGGATCAATACATTGAGGTACAGCTTGACATACTAATAAATTGCAAAATTTTGTAATACAGCATAGTGCTTGTGGACAACGTTGCCTTCATCATGCAAACTATTCAATGAGCTGGGAAGACAGCTTCAAAATGCTTTCTGTTTCTCTGCATCATTTTTATTACAAAGCATACAACTTAGAATCTAAAGATAACCATGCATATTGCTATTTTCGTCTTCACGTTATATTTATATCAGTATAATTATTCTGATTGTTAATCTTCCCAAACCATGCATATTGCTATTTTCGTCTTCACGTTATATTTATATCAGCATAATTATTCTGATTGTTAATCTTCCCAATGTCGGGAAAATTTGCAGCTAAAGATCAAGATACCCTTTGAGTTCTCTTTAGAATACAATCCCCTCGGTTTGTGTTATGATATCTACTTTGCTAAATACTTTAACAAAGTACATATACCCTTTGAGTTCTCTTTAGAATATAATCAATTTAAACCACACTTTGTGGGTGTTTGGGAAGTGGGTTTTTATGTAGGTTTTTTTAGTTGTAGGATATTATTGGATAAAAAATTTTTAGTGTTTGGGAAAGATAGTTGAGTTTTTTTGTGGTTGGATGTGATGTTTGTGAGAGAAAAAGTGAAATGATTATGGGGTTGGATGTGATATTTTGTTTGGATGTATTTTTTTTGGTTTTGCAAAAAGTTTGTCTTTTAGTGGAAAAAATAAAAAAAAAAAATCCCAAACCCAAGTTCCCAAACACCACCTTTGTGTTATGAAATCTAATTACTATACCCTATGAGTTCTCTTTAGAATAAAATCCCTTTGAGTTCTCTTTAGAATATAATCCCCTCGGTTTGTGTTATGATATCTACTTTGCTAAATACTTTAACAAAGTACATATACCCTTTGAGTTCTCTTTAGAATATAATCAATTTAAACCACACTTAGTGGGTGTTTGGGAAGTGGGTTTTTATGTAGGTTTTTTTAGTTGTAGGATATTATTGGATAAAAAATTTTTAGTGTTTGGGAAAGATAGTTGGATTTTTTTGTGGTTAGATGTGATGTTTGTGAGAGAAAAAGTGAAATGATTATAGGATTGGATGTGATATTTTGTTTGGATGTTTTTTTTTTGGTTTTGCAAAAAGTTAGTCTTTTAGTGGAAAAAATAAAAAAAAAAACCCAAACCCAAGTTCCCAAACACCACCTTTGTGTTATGAAATCTAATTACTATACCCTATGAGTTCTCTTTAGAATAAAATCCCTTTGAGTTCTCTTTAGAATAAAATCCCTTTGAGTTCTCTTTAGAAATAAAATCCCTGTGAGTTCTCTTTAGAATATAATCCCTCGGATATTAGATCTAATTATAGTATAAAAGTCTCCTCTTTAGAAAACAATGTGGGTTTTATAGCTCACTTATTAATAACCGAAAGGCATATCTGCCCCGGAAATCATTCCCAATAGCCGGATGCTCCCTACAGATTCTAGTAAGGCTTCTATATATCCGTTAGGGAGAAGGATCTCAAATCCAGGCAAAGGGCGGTGTGTCAAAAGAGTTTGCTACAAGAACTAAGGATGTGATGTGAGGATTTATATATTCATATATAGTGTGACCTACCCAAATTTACTATTGCTAATCTATAAGCAAGCGACAAGTTCACGAAAGGAGCCGACTGGAGGGCATATAAGACGAAGGGCATAGGGCGTCGAATGTCACTAAGCCGCTAGGTAGTGACATTGCCCCGTAAGAGGGGAGTCTTTCTTATTGTACATTCTCTTGCCTGCAATTGAAACTTCATGCCAAATGAAAATAATTCCATCATCATGAAAATGTTTACAAATTGCCTCTCTTGATCTAATATCTTTGCATGCAATGCATCTGCTTTCCTCCCTTGTTATACCCCGAATATTATATTGTTTTCTTTCATCATCATTTCAACATTCACAGTATGAATTGGTAAAATCCATGAGATTGTATGGGACCATTGGTAATCCTATGGCTTTCATTTGTTGCTTCTATTGAATTTTGGAACCTCTCTATAAATATATAAGATAGTTTATTCTACAAATGCAATCCACACTTGTCATTTGATGGGAACTCATAGGCAGTGGGAAAGGAAAGATTCAACTGGCAGCTGGTTATCTGACAAAGCGATATTTCTAGACATTACAACTAATTTGGTTTTTTTAAAATTTACAAATAATTTTCTTTTTTCCTTGCATGATATTGTGGGTAATTTGAACATTGTTGAATCTTTATGAGGAAGCAACAGTTTTCTAGCAAGGGGGATTAACGGCCAATAGTAAAACTGAAGGGACCATGTTGGGTGGAAGCAAATCTGCCTCATGTATTTTGTCCCCTACAAAGCATACTACAAAGCTATTGTCAAACCAAACAAAACAAGTAGTTTAAACTACCGAGAAGTGAGCTAAGAAGCACAGACATTTCTAAAAAAGTGGCATGGTCGTGTCGTGTCCGTGTCCATGTCCATGTTGGACACCGACACTCATTGGACACTTTCCTGACACGTGTCAGACACTCATCCAAATGTGTCCCATTTTTTTAAAAAGAATTTAGACTCGGACACTTAGAGGACATATATGTCCATTGCTTAAACACATGTGTCCATTGATTAGACACCCACGAAACTAATTATAAGTTTGAACAAAATAATTTAGAATACAATGATAAAAGAAAAATAATGTCAATTTATAGAAATTAGTGGTATATTGCATTTATTTATTGTTTTAGAATGATATATTCATATATATGACATATAATAAATATATAAATTACATATTCTATGCGTGTCACCTACGTGTCGTGTCCTGCATTTTTTAAAAATTGTCGCGTCGGCTTGTCTATGTCGTGTCATGTGTCCGTGCTTCGTACGAAGTGACAATTTGTAAAACTTTTGTATCTTAAATGGGTAATATTCAATGAATGTGAAAAAAAAAAGAAAACATGCTTCGCATGTGCACCACCACTAGTATAATATAAGACACTAAAAAACTGATAAAGTGAACATGTGAAAAAAGAAAAAAAAAAAGAAAAAGTGATGTGGGGTTGAGGCCACAAGGAAGCCACTCTAGGCATTAATTAAATGGCAGAAACAGTGTATATCAAAAAGTTGTTATAATGCCTAATGTTTCACTACTCATTTAAGGTGAAGAAATGACCTTAGGCATTAATTAAATGGCAGAAACAGTATATATCAAGTTGAGCCCAGATATTATGGAGAGGATTTGTGGGGTTGAGGCCACAAGGAAGCCACTCTAAATTTGAGCCTACCCAGTCTTTATTACATCCTTAACACTAAATTAATTTTAAAAGTTTGTTGGCCTAGGAGCCTGGGTTTAAACCAACGGGACATTTTTTTTGTTCTGCTTATCGACCAACTTTCTTCCTCTCTTACCATTTGGAACAATTTTTCCCTTTGCAGGTTAGGCTTGGTCAGGTACTTGAGAACAGCAAAGTAGAAACAAAAAGGTTAGGGAAGCACCAAGGTCGGGTGCACAATCTTGCTGTGGAGCCTGGAAGTCCCTACATATTTTATAGCTGTGGCGAGGATGGTTTCATTCAACATGTATGTTAACTCATTAATGTTTCTGTCGATGAAGCTTTCTCTAATTTTCACTTTGATATCAGAGTCCCCAATCTTCTTTTGCAGTTTGATTTGCGAAGTAATTCTGCTAGAAAGCTTTTCTGTTGCTGTTCATTCACAGAGAACAAGCAATCTTCAAGCAGCATAAGGTTGTATGCTATTGTGATTGACCCAAGAAATCCTAATTACTTTGCCGTAGGAGGTTCTGACGAATATGCACGTGTCTACGACACTAGAAAATACCAATTGGATGCTAGACCTGTTAATACATTTTGCCCTCGTCACCTGATTGAGACTCACGATGTTCACATAACAGCATTGGCTTACTCACACTCAAGCGAATTGCTTGTCTCATACAATGACGAGCTCATTTATTTATTTCAGAAGAACATGGGGATAGGTATGTCCCCATTGTTGTTCCCACATGAGGATTTACAGAAACTCGAAGAGCCACTAGCTTATGAAGGGCATAGGAATTCACACACGATTAAAGGAGTGAGTTTTTTTGGTCCCCATGACGAATATGTCATGAGTGGGTCTGATTGTGGTCGTATATATATATGGAAGAAGAAAGGAACCACACTCGTTCGTTCAATGATAGGTGATCGGCACATAGTAAATCAACTAGAGCCGCATCCATATATCCCTGTCATTGCTACCTGTGGAATAGGAAAAAATATAAAGCTCTGGGCTCCTTCGTCAAATGATTTTCTTCCCCTTCCTCCCAATGTACAAGAGGTACCTTCTAAATGTTTTACCCTTTTATTGAACTTTGTAGGGTAATGGACAAATATTTTCCCTGTTTGGTTGTGTCTTTCTTTTTTTTCATATTCATTTTTTTTGTGTTTTCAGAAACAATGATAAGTTCGGAAAAAAACCCATATACTCTTGTTTTTCATTTTCATGCAAAATTAGTTTTCAATAATTTGAATTGAAGTTTTTACTGCTTACTAAAAGGGGTTGTTTTTAGAAAATTCTATTGAAAGCAGTTTTCAAGAACAGAACTAGTTTTTCTGTGTTTTCCGGAAAATAAAAACAGAAAAGGAAAACGTAAGCAAACAGGTTGATTGCTTCATGCAACTCAGAAGTTGTTGCTTACATATTTTTCCACAATTTGTTTGTATCTTATACAGATTATGGAGTCCAATAGGCAAGCCAGAGAGGACCATTCACGCATTACGGTTACCCCCGATGTAATCATGCGCGTTTTGCGGTTGCACAGGAGGCAAGCACTGACGTATATTCAAAGAAGATACAATACAGCTGATGTTGAGGGTGATGAAGAAGATGAATTTATTACAGCATTTTCTGGGGATGTCTCTTCTGAGGATGGAAATTCCAGAGAGTGCAGCATTAGCTAGAATTTTTTACTTCCATCAGTAAGTGAAATCTCTGTTTTTTACCTTTAAAGGTTAGGTGTGTACCCAATCTTTCGACTCCCAAACACACATTAATGTGTATTATTTGGGCGTTGTTTTGGGTACTTGTTTGGTTCTTCGTCATTTTATATTTGAAACAAGCAATCTTCAAGCAGCATAAGGTTGAATGCTATCGTGATTGACCCAAGAAATCCTAGTTACTTTGCCGTAGGAGGTTCTGACGAATATGCACGTGTCTACGACACTAGAAAATACCAATTGGATGCTAGACCTGTTAATACATTTTGCCCTCGTCACCTGTTGAGACTCACGATGTTCACATAACAGCATTGGCTTACTCACACTCAAGCGAATTGCTTGTCTCATACAATGACGAGCTCATTTATTTATTTCAGAAGAACATGGGGATGGGTATGTCCCCATTGTTGGTCCCACATGAGGATTTACAGAAACTCGAATAGCCACTAGCTTATGAAGGGCATAGGAATTCACACACGATTAAAGGAGTGAGTTTTTTTGGTCCCCATGACGAATATGTCATGAGCGGGTCTGATTGTGGTCGTATATATATATGGAAGAAGAAAGGAACCACACTTGTTCGTTCAATGATAGGTGATCGGCACATAGTAAATCAACTAGAGCCCCATCCATATATCCCTGTCATTGCTACCTGTGGAATAGGAAAAAATATAAAGCTCTGGGCTCCTTCGTCAAATGATTTTCTTCCCTTTCCTCCCAATGTACAAGAGGTACCTTCTAAATGTTTTACCCTTTTATTGAACTTTGTAGGGTAATGGACAAATATTTTCCCTGTTTGGTTGTGTCTTTCTTTTTTTTCATATTCATTTTTTTTGTGTTTTCAGAAACAATGATAAGTTCGGAAAAAACCCATATACTCTTGTTTTTCATTTTCATGCAAAATTAGTTTTCAATAATTCGAATTGAAGTTTTTACTGCTTACTAAAAGGGGTTGTTTTTAGAAAATTCTATTGAAAGCAGTTTTCAAGAACAGAACAAGTTTTTCTGTGTTTTCCGGAAAATAAAAACAGAAAAGGAAAACGTAAGCAAACAGGTTGATTGCTTCATGCAACTCAGAAGTTGTTGCTTACATATTTTTCCACAATTTGTTTGTATCTTATACAGATTATGGAGTCCAATAGGCAAGCCAGAGAGGACCATTCACGCATTACGGTTACCCCCGATGTAATCATGCGCGTTTTGCGGTTGCACAGGAGGCAAGCACTGACGTATATTCAAAGAAGATACAATACAGCTGATGTTGAGGGTGATGAAGAAGATGAATTTATTACAGCATTTTCTGGGGATGTCTCTTCTGAGGATGGAAATTCCAGAGAGTGCAGCATTAGCTAGAATTTTTTACTTCCATCAGTAAGTGAAATCTCTGTTTTTTACCTTTAAAGGTTAGGTGTGTACCCAATCTTTCGACTCCCAAACACACATTAATGTGTATTATTTGGGCGTTGTTTTGGGTACTTGTTTGGTTCTTCGTCATTTTATATTTGACATAGTTTCAAATCACTCCTGATCTGTATAACATTAATCCGTGTCAAAAGTTCAGTGGGAATGATGTAGTCCATTAACGCCCACTCCACGAAATAAGAATGTAAAAAAATAATAGAACCCTTTCAAATTTGTTAATGGAAAAATGGGCTCTACTGTATACAAAATAGAAGCTAATAGGGATCTGATCTTGTTTAGATGTAATTAATGGACATCCATGTTTGATACATGTATTTTTTTTTGGGCACTGTTTGGGATTAAGGTCGGGATTTGTAATACCAAGGATAGGGGATTATATATTAGAATACTTGTATCATTTTTTACTAGGGCAAGAAATAGCATGATTGTTTTTGACCATGGGATGGGGTAACAGGGCCTCAGACCTAAGTAAGTTGGCTTTGAGACACACAGTTTTATTGAATTGAATCTAAGGATGCCCAAATCTTCTCTAAACACCAAACAGACTTTTATTTATAGTTTTCAAAATTCTGATAAATAAATAAAAAAGTGAAAATGTTACCAAATAGGATAAACTTCTAAAGTTGAGAAATACATCATAAATACACGTGGCTTATGCATTTTAGTTATGCTAAAAAGAAAAAAAGAAATTGTTGCATTCCTTTACGTTTGTTTATGGTATTATTGTTTGCTTGTCGGATTATTTCATGGGAGATTGGATATAATAGAATTAGAAGGGGATAAGTTATACTATGGAATAATTGTACCAAAACACATAAAATAAAATAATGAATGAGATCATATTAATTATATATAATTGGTTATTGTGGGATAAATAATGAGATACAGGAAGATGATTATTTTTTATTATTTTTCATTAGGAAGAACTCAAAATGATTGCACTTCTCAATGTAAGTGAGAATTGTGTCTTGTGTCACAAGTTGCATTTGCAAAGATGCTATACTTGTACCTCTACAAAAATTGCAATTATTTTGATTTGTTTATGTTGGAACACAATTCTTCTTTTCTTTTTTGGTTTGATACTTTCAGCATATGTTCAATATGTTTTGGGATGGGTAAGTGGTGGGATAAAATATGGGATAAGGGGACCCTCATAGTAATTTCCCCTTTTTATTTACCCAAATACAAATATAATTTTTTTACTTACACAGAAATTAATTATAGAATCGTATATAATTTTCTCACATGGGTTTTGTTTGATTATCGGGATCCTGTATTCTTAAACTTTTTCTACCAAATAAGTGGCATCAAGATTAATGGTCCAATCTAGGGGTGTAATAATGGCCTAGCCAGGCCCACTCGGGCTCAGGCCGGCCATGGCAAGCCATGTGGACTTTCGCTTTTTTGGTGGGCCGAGTCAGTCTGGCTTGTGGGCCAAAAAGTGGGGCACAAGCCCACTCATATTAGGGCCTAGGGTCTGGATTCGAGCCTGGCAGGCCTAGTTTTTTTTTAATTTTTTGGGCAAAAAATAAACGATAAATATATTATGTATATAGATTATTTATGAGGGATAAAAAAAAAATTGTACTAGTGTATTTTAGTTAAGATTAATGAGATGTTTAGTTATATTTCATGTGTAGCAGTATTTAAATTTAATTATGCATGAATTGTGTTTTTTTTTTTTTTGTTATGAACTTATGACTAAAAAAGTATGAAATTATGTAATTTTCTTCTTTTGAAATGAATAATTTTATATATATCAGAATGAAACTTGTAATATTACAATCATTAAATTAAATAACATTTATTAAATGAATAATTTTTATTTCAAAATGAAATAAAATATTACAAAAATTTATATCATTAAATAAAATAGAAGTGATAATAGAGCAATTGCATCACTGTAGGTCAAATACATTCTAATTACGTTGGTATCTACTAGCCTACTAATCATTTACATTACACTCCACCTCAATAATCTAATACAAAAAAATAACGAAATGAAATATTCAAAAACAATTTATTGATCAATCATCGGAGAAGTCAGACAATTCACTCGCATTGCCTGAGGATATGTCATCCAAATCAGTTTGAATTTTCTCATTTTCACTATAATTTTGTCTTCTCATAAGCGCATGCATATGATCTCTAGATATTATCAGTGTCTCAACCATTTGGGGCAAAAGCCTGCTATGGTAATCACTCAACACCAGTCCACCTACACAAAAAGCTGTTTTCTAAACAACTGTAGAAATATGAATGGTTAGTATATCACGGGCTATTTGTGAGACCACAGGCCATATAGTTTCATTTTGTTTCCACCAATCCAAAATGTCAAATTATCGAAATCATCCATTGATAGGCTTTCCAAATAACGTTGTAGTTCAAAACTACTTATACTTGTATGTTGAGATATTCTTTTACTTTTTATTCGTGAAAAGATAAGGCTGCTAGTATAGTGTGTAGATGTATTTGCAGATGCAACTATCCTGTATTCTTCAAATAATGTTTTGCGTGTTTTCATAATGGAGGCAAATTATTTTTGATTAGCAAAAATACATTCCAAAATTTTTTGTAAATCATTTGTTTTTTTTTTTTTTACACCTATGATCAATTATTATGGCTAAACCTAAAAGATGAGGTAATGAATCAAAGTATTTATCAAATTTTTCTTTCATTGCAATAATAATAGTTATATAATATTCATTACACATATATTTTACGAAAACGTTCATTATTTTTGCTAACATATGCAAAACAAATGGTGAAATAGGAATATATATGTATATATATATATAAGAAAATAATTTTGTTGCAGTATTAAAAACGTTTAGAAAATCTTTATACAAGGTTACTTGGCTCCAATTAAATTCTGTGGGAGTTAGAACTCCTCCTATTGATATTGTTGCAAAAAATAAATCTATTACTTTTCTTTGTTAACAAGCTTTTTTAAATATATTATACGTTAAATTTCACCTGTTGTTTATATCTAAAATTAATTTTTTAAATGACATATTTTCTTGTTGACAAATTTTCTTGTATTCTGAAATTTGATTAGTAGAAGACATAATAGTAACAACTGCATTTTTTATTATCAGTACAGAAGTCTCGTATATATGCATAATTTCTTTAACAATCAAGTTTAAATTATGGGCACAATAACGAATATGAAATAAATCACCACTAACAAGTAAATGTAAAATTGATTTCAAATGGGATATAGTCTGATTGTAATATGTTGCATTATCTAAGCGAATGATTAGTGTATGGAAATTCAACTAATCTAAATGAAACAATTCTTTTATTTAATTTTCAATCATTATCAATAAAATGTGCAATGATATATTGATATTCTAAACCATTATTTGTTTACAGATCAGATGTTAAATAAACTTTTCTATTCAAATTTTTGAATATGTCAAATAATTCATTTTTAATATCCTCAAATTTCTTTAAAATCCTATTTCTAGTAGTATTTAAAAAAAAAAAAAAAATTTGATATTGCGGTGCAAAACTTTCATGAATCATTTGGGCAAAATCAAGACATTCACTAGTAATTACATGTTATTTTTTAATAATACAATCAATTACAGAATTTTGTGCACGTATAGGATTATATGAAAATGTTTGCAAATGACCAGTTGATGAAGCTCCTAATTGCATTTGACTTTTAATATCAAGTTGTTGACGTTATAAATGTTTGTTAGCATGCCTTTTTAGATGACTAGTAACCCCTGCAAATGCAGCACTAAGTAAATATGTACAATATTTACATTTTGCTTTAAATATAATTGTACCATCAGGATTATTTGCAGATATTTTTTTGAAATGTTCCCAAACAGCACACTAGTCGTGTCCCTGGATGATGATCCAGCTGTTGGAAGAGGAATATTAGGTACATTAGAAGAAGAATAAAAATATTCATGTTGTGTATTATATGCATCAATATCAACATAAACATTAGGAATATCAGGATTCATATGTAAGGAAAATAATATATAAGAACTGACAATTAATTTAAATAATGAGTAAACAATAACAAGTAATATATGTTAAGAAATAATTAATATAAAAAACTGAGTAACTGATAAATTTAATTCAACTAATTAATGTTATCAACTGACAAGAAATTGAGAGTTTGAGAGACAGAATTATTTGTGAGAAATAAAATAAGAAAGGAGGAATATTTATAGGAGTTTGGGAGGATGAGGTTAATTTGTAAATAAATAAAAAAATTCGGGCTGTTTGATGTTAAATGGTCATGTGACCGTTTCAATTAAATTCATGGGCAATGGTAGAGGGTCACAATTTTTGTGGCTCAAATGGCTCAAAACTGTCAAAACGACGTCGTTTTGAGCACAAAACATGTCAAAACGACGTCGTTTTGACAGTTTTGACCCATTTGAGCCACACAAATTGTGGCTCTCAAACATTATATTCTAAATTCATATATATATATATATATATATTTCCATTGCTGCATGTGCAGCAGACATTAGATTCAAAGTTTTTTTTTTTTACTGTTGTTGAAGCGTGCAACATTGAATATTTATTCATTTATTTATTTTTGAATTTTGACTGTTACTCAGTCAAAGAATTATTGAGGGAGGGGGTGGGCTGGAGGGCCGGGGCATCCGAAGGACGAAATTTTTTTTGTGGACCAGGCTGACGGGCCACGGGTTAGGCCGAGTTTTAAAATAACGGCTCAAGCCTAAGGTCTTGGATTGAGCTTGGGTCAAAGTCTAACTGAATTTCAAATCGTCCATAGATCTCGGACTATTTTTATACTCCTAATCCAATCTCTCCCAATCTCCCTCTTATCCATGTACACATTTTTAAATAATCACCAACTAATAATGCTTGATTGAGGACTAGTTGGCTACCCCTAGTCCAATCTCCCCCACTCTCCCTCTTATTCATGTACAGATTTCCAAATAATGACTGAGAGGGTAATTTTTGGGAAAAATTGGGCCGAGCTCCGAGTTTGGCTTCCCCCACTCTCCCTCTTATTCATGTACAGATTTCCAAATAATGACCAACAAATAATGCTTGATTGAGACTAGGACTAGTTGACAATCCATTATTATATGCAGTGATTGAAACACCAATTTGAAAGGATAGGCTGGATTGGTGTAAAAAGACTTTTAGGTTTTGTTTGTGTTAAATTATTTGTCTTTTTTTTACAAAAGTATAAATAATTTAGATCACATCAATTAATATTTTTTTTTTATTTTCCTACACGTCATTTTATAAGAAATTAAAAAATACATTTATTTAGAACATTTTAAACCACCTCTTAATTAGAAAAGTCAAGAAAGTTAAATTAAAAAAAAAAAAAAAAACTCTTTTAATAAGTGTAATGGGCCCACGAGCCAGGATTGGTCCAGTTTTAGAAACAAGTTCAACCCAAAATAATTATAAAACATGAAAATCTATTCTAATTATTGAAAAGAAAAAGGAAAAATTGATCTTGAACTCACGAGTGCTACACACTATGGGAAGAAGTAAAATCATAAATTTTGATCTAACAATCCTAAATATCTAGAAAAATATCTTGAAAATTACATCAATAGATTACATTCATTTTAGTGTAAATTATATCATTTCAATTTTAAATTTACACCATACACAAATTTGCATCATACACTTCACTTTTGAATAATTTTTAAAATACAAATTCTGAATACATAGCATTTTTCAATTTTGATACATAAAACAAATGGATATGTACAAACAACACCACAACAACAGATGCAGTAGTAAATCAGACACCAAATTGAACTCTTGATCAACCCCAAATATATCATTCAATGGACCTAAAACCATCATCATCATCATCCACCACATCTTCAACATCTTGATACTTGTACAACCAAGCACACACTAAATAATAGCCAAAGTTCAACACCCCTACCGAACTCAACACCCAATACACATTATCCATCCTTCCATCATTTATATTGTCCGGCAACCACAGTGTCGCCCTCCGAACAATCCCAACCACGGCGGTGCTCAAATAAAACGCAATGCCGATGAGCAGAGCCACCAATGCTGTCGACGTGCTTTTCAACAACGGAGGAAATTCTTGGTAATAGAACGCGACGTTGCCGGGCAAATGAAATGCCTCTGCGATACCGGCAATAACTAGCTGTGGTACTAGCCATAAGACAGACATGGGTACGACAGTGGAACCATTGGTTTGGTTTTGAAGGTGGTGAGCGTCAACCTAGCAAAACAATAAACCGAATATTAAGCTCAAATGTTATGACAACAATGATAGAAAATATGATATTAATAGAATTTAAATTGAAGTTTTAGCTTTGGAGAGTCTGTCTAGGAGTCACGTTGCCACTGTTGTAAAATAGATTTTCCTTTTCTTAATGGATTAAAGCAATTTTAAAATAAAATCTCAGTTTGCTCACAGTCTAATGTTTAGTTGTTGGTAAAAAGATTGTATTTATAGAAATATGTAATAAGAAGAGTATAATATCCCATTAATGCGTAAAAGTTCAACAAGGATCCCATGTCTCCAAAAATTCCTGTCTCCCTGTCCCAAAATACTCACAGCCATTGAATCATGTGAGAATCCCAAAATTTGAGAATCCCAAGACATATCCAATAGTTGTGAGTGCTTTGGCACATGGGGACAGAAATTTTTGGGGACACGGGATCCTAAGGCGTAAAAGTTAGATTTTATTATCCAAAAAACTCTTTGTGGGGGCCGAATATTGGGAGTCGTAAAGAGGCCGAATAGTTAAACTTGGAGAGTTGAGATATATATAGCATTCGACTCCGTCTCGCATGTTCAAATCTCTCTCTATTCAGTCAAATGGCCGGTTGGGCAAGGAGCCGAGTGAAAAGCAGTTCGTTACAAAATAAGCCGAATAGCGAACTGAAGGTGGGCCCAACCCCAAGGCCCAAGAAAGAAAAGATATAAATAAAGGAATATCAGCCAGAAAAAGGTATGTGAGAACCATTACACTTAACTTAAAATATAAGTAATCTTGAGTGTAGGGACTGACTTGCCCGTCGGAGTGCTAATTCCGGCACCCCCGACCGGAGTATTTATTCCTTTTCAAGTGACATCCAGAGGATCACGAGCGTCCCCTGGGATCCGAAGAGTATTTCCAAACCATTTCCCCACAATTGGCGCCGTCTGTGGGAATACTCAAATGCATCCATGGCGAGCGTAACGGAAGACTCTCTGATAGTCACTGATGAAACCATACAGAGAGACGACCTCACTCCAACAAACATGCTTGGACCGGAGACTATCCCCGCAAGACGCGCTTTGAACTTCGTCTCACCCTCAACTTCAGAGCATGAGACAATGCTGGCGACTCTGTATCTGGCAAAGCAGTCCATGTTTGGCACTTCTTTCAAAAAAATCTGTTTTTCTCAAAACGATTTGCCGGATTTGGACTCTTTGGTTCAGACTTAGAACCGTGACACAAATCGAGTCCGAACTGTAGCACGAGGTCCCACGCGGGCGCTGTTACACACCCTCAACTTCAGAGCATGAGACAATGCAAGCAATCATGGAACAAGCAAAGCAAAACAAGCAGAGGTTGGAGAGCATGATCGCTGAGAACAAACGTCTCCGTCAGGATTTGGCCTTGGAAGTGGTGAAGTCTAAACAAGCTGTACGCAAAGATCCAGAACGACCTCTGAGGGCAGGTGGTCGACGACCTTGAGCCCGACAACAAGACACTGATAGCGACTCCGACTCATTATCCCCGGAGCCCAAGAAAAAGGGACAACCCGAAACTTCCAATTCCTCTGAAAAGAGTCCACGTATAAGGCATAAGCACAGAAAAAACAGTTCAGATGAAGAAGACCAGCATGATCCTTTTGTGCGACGGATCACTAGGGTGGTTCTACCCAAAAAGTTCAAAGCTTCGTCATTCACTCTTTATGATGGAAAGTCAGACCCCACCGATCACATCCGTCATTATAAGCAAGCCATGACGTTGCATGCAGACGACGAGGCCCTCATGTGCCGAATATTTCCCAACAGTTTGGGACCATTGGCTGTCAGGTGGTATTATAAATTGGAGCCGGCTTCGATCAAAAGCTTCCATCAATTACAGAAAATCCTTCAAGGCCAGATTCATCACCAACAAGGTCCAGCCAAAACAAGCTGACTCTCTCTGGGCAATGCAGATCCAGCCAGGAGAAACACTAAGAGCGTATTCGGCGCGCTATTGGGAGTTCTTTAACCTTGTTGATGACGCTTGCAACGACTCCATGGCCATCACTGCCTTCAAAATGGGTTTGCATCTTGACAGTGCTCTCCGCAGCTCTTTGACTAGAAGACCCCCCAAAATAGTCTGGTCGTTGATGAAGAAAGTTAAGGAATATTGCAAGGTAGAGAATGACGCCTTGCGGGTTAAAGCCGGAAACGTGGCCAACAAGACAGCCCCTTCTGAGATTGCTAAGTCGATAAGTTCCGTACCACCTCAAAGCCCCAAACCGCGGCATCGGGCTAAACGAGATAAGAGACGGGATTCTCGTCGAGCAAGCGACCAATGCTCCCACCAAGCAAGTGAACAACTGCAAGCCAATAGCAGGCGCACAAGACGCACCGACAAGAAATACACGGAGTTGACAGAGCCGATCAGTGCGGTGATGTCCAAAATCCAACACCTTCCATTCTTCAAATGGCTGTCGAAAATGGTGGGGCCTCTCGACACGCGAAGACGGGATAGGCGGTGCGAGTATCACAAGGATCATGGCCATGATACTGAGAGTTGTTATGCATTGAAGGATCACCTGGAGGAATTGGTACAAGATGGCCGGCTACAACAGTACGCCCGAAAAGGCAACCCAACCAAAGCAATAGCCTTAAGACAGGATTCACCTCCACTCGACATGATCCACCGATATACAGCATGCCAATGTCATCTGCAGTGCATACGATTCAGTCGAGTCCCGAACCTCATAATCAACTCACACCGGCTAAACGGCCCCATGAAGCTGCAAACATTGCTTTTGATGATTCAAATTTGGCCGGAGTGACACTGCTCGTCATTGATCCCTTGGTAATTGAGTTACGCGTAAACCGGTTCACCGTTGAGCGCGTACTCATTGACCCAGAGAGCACATCGAAAGGCATGTATTACAAGACATTCATCAAACTCGACTTCTCTGAATCAGACCTTTCCTCGGCTCCTTATCCACTATTTGGCTTCAACGCCAATCCAGAATACCCATTGGGGAAAATCACACTACCCGTTCATGAGGGCTCCCGAATAGTGGATGTGGAGTTCTTGGTCGTCAAGCTGCCATCGCCGTATAATCTCATCATAGGGTGATCTTGGTTGCATACTATGCAGGCCGTGCCAAGCACCTATCATCAGCTGCTATGCTTCCTAACAGAACGCGGCATTGAGCAAATCCGTGGCACCCAGAAATTGGCACAAGCATGTTATCTCCTTGCTGCAAAAACGCCAAAGGAGTTGCAAGTGAACTCTATTGAAGTGACAGATCAGGAGAGCCTCGACGATGTTGGGCGGCTCCCCAATGAAAAGGCCACGGAAACCCTAGACTGAGTTAAAATCAACGGAAACCCAGACAGATTCTTCATGGTCGGCGCCTTCCTGAATTAAACCGACAAACAGTAGCTAATTTCCTTCCTGCTTGGCAATCTTGATGTATTTGCATGAACTCCATATGAGATGCCGGGTGTAGATCCATCTGTTTCGCAACACTTTTGATTGTTGACCCTAATGCAAGCCGATCATTCAGAAAAGTCGGCGATCAGCCGCAGAGCACACTGCCGTTGTTGTTGAAGAGGTTGATCGGTTGCTTGATGCCAGAGCAATCAGGGAAGTGACCTACCCTACATGGCTCTCTAATACTATGGTTGTGAAGAAGAAAAATGGGACTTGGCGGGTCTGCGTCGATTTCACAGACCTAAACAAAGCCTGCCCCAAAGACTATTTTCTTCTCCCCAAGATAGACCAACTTGTAGATGCTACGACGCGTCATCAACGTATAAACTTCCTCGATGCCTACAGAGGCTATCATCAAATCGCTATGCATCTGGAGGACCAAGACAAAACTGCATTCCTTACCCCAAGAGGAACCTATTGCTATAAGGTTACGCCTTTTGGGCTGAAGAATGCAAGGGCAACTTACGAGAGACTAGTCACCACCATGTTCAAGGAGCAACTCGGCTACACTATGGAAGTGTATATTGACGATATGGTGGTCAAGTACAAGGAAGAGCAGAATCATAGAGCCGATTTGGAAGAGACATTCAGCATTCTACGCAAATATGAAATGAAGCTGAATGCTTCCAAATGTGCGTTTGGGATCGGCTCTGGCAAATTCTTGGGTTACATTGTCAACCACCGAGGAATCGAAGCCAACCCAAGGTAAATCATAGCAATCCTGGAGCTCGGCTCCCCTCGTTCAGTAAAAGAGGTTCAAAAGTTGATGGGGATGGCCGTCGCACTCAACAGGTTCATCAGTCGGTCCACAAATCGTTGCTGACAATTCTTTCATACACTACGATTGGGCAAGGCTTTTGAATTGTCCGCCGATTCTTGGGTTACATTGTCAACCACCGAGGAATCGAAGCCAACCCAAGGTAAATCATAGCAATCCTGGAGCTCGGCTCCCCTCGTTCAGTAAAAGAGGTTCAAAAGTTGATGGGGATGGCCGCCGCACTCAACAGGTTCATCAGTCGGTCCACAAATCGTTGCCGACAATTCTTTCATACACTACGATCGGGCAAGGCTTTTGAATTGTCCGCCGAATGCGAAGCTGCTTTCAACGACCTCAAGACCTACCTCCGCTAAGTACCACTCTTGACAATACCTTCTGCTGGTGACCCGCTCATTTTGTATCTGGCAGTTTCCGACTGGGTCGTCAGCGCCGTACTGATAAAGGAAGAGCTGAGGGAGCAGCGGCCAGTGTACTATGTGAGCAAGGCAATGGTTGACGCCGAAACACGCTACCTTCTGCTGGAAAAACTCATCCTAGCCCTAGTCATGGCGGCAAGAAAACTGATGCATTACTTCCAAGGGCATAGCATTGGGGTACTAACAGATTATCCCCTCTGATTAGTACTACGTAGTGTAGAAGCATCAGGACGTGTTTCAAAGTGGGATCTTGAGCTTGGCCAGTATGATATTCAGTTTTTACCTAGAACCTCAATCAAAGAACAGGTGCTTGACGACTTTGTTGTCGAATTCACTGGGGGTCTTGCCGACTTCAATT